CTTACTGGTAGCTGATGTCTCTTGTGAGGGGTCCCTGGAGCCTTGGATTGAAAGACAGGGGCCAGAGCAAGCCAAGTTTCTGGGTGGGTGGAGTGGGGGAAGCTGAGAAACCTAGCCCATCCCATAACTTGGATTGGGGGGAGCCTCAGGTTGAGGGGGCCCAGCCCGAGGGAGGGAACGGCTGGTTTGGGATCAGGTTCCTGCTCTGTCCTGAGACGTGACATTGGCCACAGCCTCCTTCCTCCCAAGATTTCTCTCCCTGCCGCTTGCATTTGCCTGTCATCTGCCTAGCAAATAAGCCCTTCCCCAGGGGGCAGGATGGCTTGGAGGTCATCCTTGTCCGGGCCCTGCCCCCTTGGCACCCCAAGAGAGAGTCCCCAAGAGGCAAGCTGAACCTGAGTAGCCTTTGGTGACTTCGGGTGCCCCCACCCAGCCTAGTCCCCCCCCCCCCATGAGCACTGCAGCATCAGGCTGCCCGTGCCCACCCCGAGTAGCTCTGTGACCTTGGACACGTTTCTCGGATTCTCTCACGCACATCTTTAAAATGGGGATGACAATGGCACCTGTGTTGCTGAGGAATTTGGAGGATTAAAATGAGCTGATGTTTGTAAAAGTGCTCAGAAGAGTGAGTACCTGGTACCAGTGTGATCTGTGAAGTATTTAATAAAATATGGCAGCTGGGTTGGGATCCCAGAGGTGGAGGGACCCTCCTACGCGTGGAGAGAAAAATGGAAGTCGTGGCTGGCGATGGTGGGAATCCTCTCCCTTCCTTCCCCAGTGGGCACTGTCCTCCACTCCCCACAAAGAGTTAACCTCTGTCCCGCCCCACCCCCTCTCCAGACTTTCTGGAGAAGTGTCCCCCACCGGTGAGCTGCTGCTGCTGTCGCTCAGGGAAGACACCCACCCCCACCTTAGGGAGCACCGAGGACAAGACAGAGGCTACAGCTCCGGCTGCCCCACGTGGGCCGGGGCCCTTTAAGAAGCCTGGGTCCCATCACCTGTGGGGCTTCCACCAGCAGCCTCCTTTATGTATTATTGAAATAACCGACTAGGCTACTGCAGGCTTCCCTCCGGCTTCCCCCACCTCTGTGTGGAGCTGGGCTGCATCACCATGGAAACCCGCCAGCCACAGCCTGGGGGGGAGGGTGAGGAACAGCCTTAAAGGAACACAGTGCATGGGGTGGAGGTGACCCCACCAGGTACAAAGGCCCCTACCCAGCCTGCTGAAGAGACAGCCCAGACAGGGGTGCCCCTCCTTCCCCCCAGGCACACATGGCCCTGGCACCCACTCTGACCCTCCCACACCCCACTGGGCTGCCCCTCGCTGTACTGCTCTCACCGTATGCCAGCACGTGTGTGCACGCACACACACAAGTACACACACACACACACACACACACACACACACACACATGGCTGGGTGGGAGGGGCTGGAGGGCCTGGGGATTCGCTCCCTTGAAGGACCCTCTGTTGCTTGTCCTTGGGGCTGGCCCATTTCTGTCGAGGGGCCGAGAGAAGGACTCCAGGTGGGAACGGAGCGGGCATCCCGGTGCGCAGCGTGCACAGGCAGGGCGCCCTTTGGGCTTGACATGGCAGAGGTTCCCGGGGTGTATGTGTGTGGGCGTGTTCTGGGAGGGCAGCAGCCACCCCAGGTCTAAGCTAGCCTCCACCGCCTCTCAGCTCCTTCCCAGGCAACCCAGCACGGAGGGTCTGCTGCCTAGCTATACCATGCAGAGGAGAGGTCCCATCGGGCCCAGACTCCAGGGGCAACCCGGGGAGCATCTGGATGCCAGGGCGGGGCGTGGGCGGGGCTCCCCTCAGCCCTCTGAGCCCCTCCCTGGAAGCCTGGCTTCGCCTCCCGGTGCCTGCCACACCCTTCCTCCCAGCCAGCCCCAGTCCAGGGTGGGAGGCCCTGGGGAGGACGGTCTCCAGTCCTGGGCCCACTCAAGCCCAGGGTCCCGATTTTGTCTCACGCTTCCCAGTGCAGTGGCCAGTGTCACGGTCCGTGCACAACCGTGCTCACGGACACACACACTCACACACTCACTGTTGTGCCTGTGGCCACGATCTTGCAAGAATCTACTGGGACCCTCGGGGTGCTTCTCCCCTCTTGGTTCCCCTCGGCGAGCCCTGCCTTCTCCCTGGGTCGGCCAGCAGTGGCTTACGTGGGTCTTACAGCCTTCCCCTGCCTCAGCGCCACAAGTGGGCGGGGACCTGTCCGCCAGGTCGCTGTGGGGCTTTGTCTCCTCTTTTGGCCCCGCCCGTCTGTCCGGCCGACCTTCGAGCTGAAGAAGTCCCCTCCACAGCCCCAGGCCCATCTTCACTCCCCCACCCCCCACCCCCCACGCCAGGGGCCAGGACGCTGCAGAGGCACCTCTCAGCCGCGCGCACGCGCACGCCGCGCGCGCCTGCGCTCCTCACTCTTTCTGCCATTTCGCATCAGTGCTTCTGCGGCTGTCTCTCCTCTCACCCTTCGTACTTCTGTTTCCTCGTCTCCTCTCCCTGCTGCCTGGGTCTCTGCTTCCTACGTCTCCATCTTGGTTGTCGCGCTCTTTGTCTCAAGTCCCTGCCCCACCCTCCCCAGCTCCACTTCTCGGTCCTCTCCCCCTGCCTCCTGCCTTTTTCTCGCTGTCTATCACCTTCAGTCTTCCCCAGCCTGCCCCCCTCGCAGACATGGCCTTGGCTCCATCTGTACACCAGCTTGTGGACCGCCCCCACCTCCCTCCCCCTCGCCCCGGTGTGGCAATGGGGGCGGGGGGCCTGCTGGGCTGACAACCTTAGCTGCTTGCTCAGTAATTGCCCGATGAATGGCGAGAGATCCGAGCCCCGCAGCCCCTCCCAGCTGTCAGAGGCCTCGAAACCTTCTGGTTCTTGCCTGTCTCCAATGCCCGGGGCGGGGGCGGTGGCGAACTGGGTGGCAAATACCCGCAGACCCAAAGAGATTGGTATGAGGTGGTGGGGACTCAGGATGGGGCCAGGATTGGGGAGGGAGTGGGGACCGGGGTTTGGGTATCGGACATCCCTGAGTACATGCCCCAGAGTATGCACCATTCCTGCGGCTTAGATTTGGAGGACAGACGGAGGAGCTGGTGGGACTGAGACCTCAGACCGTCATTCCAACAAACAGAGCAAGCCGCAGGAGGGTCCTCTGAGCTCTCCGGGCTCCAGTTTCCCTCCCCTCCCCTCCCCCTCCTAAAACCGGAGTGCTCTGCACCCCCAAGGCGGCTGTTTGATTGCCCGCTCTCAGATCTGAGTCTCCCACTGCTTCCTACAGGGCCTTGAAGTCAGGCCCAAGCCGCCTGGGGCCACCCTGCACAGACCTGGGCTGCCACTCTGCACTTCCCACCCTCCAAGTCAGTCTCTTGGCCCCCATGGGGTATCTCCCTCACCCCAGCTCTGGGTGGGGGGATGGAGAGCTTCTAGCCGACTGCTCATTCTCCACCATCTATTCGCCCTGCCACATTCGCCACTCTTCTTGGTCACCCCCTTACAAGAAACCATTTTGTGGCTCCTGGTTGCCTCCAGGCAGAGTCCATATTCCTTAGCACAGCATTCCGGGCCTTCCCACCCACCCCTTTGGTGTTCTGGATGAAGCCTGGTCCCTTTGGATGAGAGAGGATGGCCAGTGTGGGTTTGGTGAGGACAGCACCCTCTCTTGCCTCTCCTATACCTTCACCACTTGCCTCTTTCTCACCCCCTCATCTGGAGTCTAAGCGGTGTGTCTTCTCAGACGTCTGTTCCTTCTGCTGGTCATGGCAGAGGAACCCCCAAGCTCCCAGTCTCCGGGGCCTCTTGCGTGCAGGTGGAATGTGGCATTGCTGGTGTTGCTAGCGCCTGGGGCAGCCACATCTAGCTAGCAGTGTTGAGCCCTGAAGAATCAGAAAAAGACCCAGGAGCTGGGCTGCCAAACACTTGAGAGGCATCAGAAACACTGACTCAGGCAATGTTCCAGAGCTTTCCCTGACCCTTGCCCTGGAGCATCTGGAAGGGGGAGGCCACAGTCACTTCTGTTGCTCGTGGGGGGAAGGGAGGCTGAGGGACACCAGGGAGGTGTTTTCCTCCCTTCCTCCACTTCTCAAGGGCAGACTTCCTTCCCCTTCTTCTTCCTTTTCCTGGCCCTGTTCTGTGAAATGCAGCCATCTTGGGCCCCTTTCCTATTTCCATTTCCCAAGCTCCCCTGCTGGCTTTTTCCAAGGACCAGTTGGCTTTGAAACCCACAGCAGTGAGGCTGTGATGGGAGTCCTTCTCTACATGTGTGTGCACAAATGCTTGTGTGTGCACACAGAGATAGCAGACATGAGGGTTCATCCCCCACAGACATACACAGACAAATACACACACAGGTCACAGACATGTGGATTCACTCTCCACAGACACACAAGAAGACACACACAGGTGTGCACGCAGCTAGAAGACATGCGGGTTCAGACTTCCCACAGGAACACACACACACTCATGTGTGCTTACACCCAGCTCGCAGGCCCATACATTAATTCCTTCAGCCACACATTGACACACGCTTTCCTGAGTGCACACATGCGGACTCAGCTCCCCCCAGAGAAGACACACGAATGTGCCCATGCGCGCACGCACACAGCCATGGACACCTGCTCGCAGGCACATGTAGACACACATGGGGACGTGTGCACAGAGCGGCCTGTGGCATGCCCAGGGGAGCTGATTAGGGCAACAAGTTGGTGCTGGGGAGGCAGCTGGTGGGAAGGCGCAGACAGAAAACAGGAAAGGAATGGAAGGCAACCTGGAGGACCAGCCGGGGGAGGTCTCTTCCAGATTTCTTCCTCTAAGGTGGGGGGGAGGGGCGGGGCCAGGAGGCTGGATTCGCCCAGACGGTAGTCACTAACGTCCCTGCCTTCTCTCCTCTCTCCTCCCTACCCTTCCTTTCCCTCCTCCCTTTCCCAGTGCCCCCACCCACAGCTCCCGCCCCGAGCCTCCCGCCAGCCCCCTTCCCCTGGGCGGGAGCCGCCGGCGCCGCCGGGAAGATGGCCGTGGCGCTGCGGTACGTGTGGCCTCTTCTCCTGTGCAGCCCCTGCTTGCTCATCCAGATCCCCGAAGAATGTGAGTAAGCTGGAGGAGCCTCGGTGCTCCCTTCGCCGCAACGCTGGGCCGCTCTGTATACTGCCTCCTCATCTTTCCTCCCTTCTGGACCCTCGCCCCTCCTTTTTTGGGCACGGGGTGGGTAGGAGGTACTCAGGAGAGAAGGGCAAGGTCGGGGGAGCCGGGTGTCAGAACCACGGACAGGGACCAGCGGCACGGGCAGCCGGGCGGTTTCAGCACCACGGACAGCTGCCCTAACGCAGCCCCGCAGACCACAGTCCCTGCCGGCTCTACCCTCTCCCGTGCCGGCCCCACCCGGCCCCGCCCACCCGGGTTCCTCCACTTCCCAGGCCCACCGCACCGGGAGGGATGTGGTGGGCTGGAGTATGCGGCTTGTGGAAAGACCTGGATTCAAGTCTTGCCTCTGCTTCTGACTTGCGTGATCCTGAGCTGGGTCTTTCACATCTTGGCCCCTTGAGAGGAAAATACACCTTGAAAATCCCAGGCCCAGCCCAGCGGCGTTCGGGATTCTTACGATTTAATGTGTAGCTATTTGGTGGGGGGAGCCCTGGTGGCACAGTGATTAAGAGCTTGGCTGCTCATCAAAAGGTCGGATCCACCAGCTACTCCTTGGAAACCCTATGGGGCAGTTCTACGCTGTTGAATAGGGTCGCTATGAGCTCAACGGCAATGGGTGTGTTTTTTTTTGTTTCGGTTTATTCGGTGGGGGGTGGGCTGCTGGAGCACGTGTCTATGGTTATAATGGTACTGTACTGAGGGGTGACCTTCTGGGGGAGGTCACGGGTAGGAGAGTGGGGGTTTGGGAGTGTGGCTGTAGGGTTGTGACTGCCATGAGTATTTGTGTGTGCTTGGGAGTCGGATAGACTCTATATGTGCGTGTACGTGTGTGTGTGGCTGTGATTGACTAGACGTGAATATTCGTGAGTGTGATTCTGATTTTCTTTGGGGTAAGTTTGTGAGTGAGTGTAACTGTTGCCGTTTTGCCGGATTTGTGACGGTCTGGGGCTATTTGACTGTTAGCGCTGGGTGTGTATGTGTCGGTGGGTTGACTGAGTACGTTTCCCTGGTTGGTGGGTGTGTCAGTGTGACAGTGCTGTCTCCTGAGTGTGGGCAGGAAGTGTGAACCTGCTGCTCTAAGTGGCTGGAAGGACTGTGTGAGGGGCATTTGACAGGGTATCGTGTGGGAGGGCATTTGTGTGTCCAGAGCCTGCTCTGTCCCCTCCTCCTGTGCCACCCTTGTCTCTGGGCCTGGGCATTAAGGAGGTCAGTGTCTCTGGGAGAAAGTGAAGACTGTGCCAGGAATGGGAGAGGGGCTGGGGCGGGGAGTCTTGGAGGAAGTGAAGAGTGGCTGACAGGACAAAGGTTGGGGACACCCCTCAGACACGCACATGGGGGTCCATGCAGTCACACCGATGCAGGCTCCCCAGCCACAGATACACAAGGTCACACACACACGTAAGTAGACACACAATCAAGCCAGAGATACAAAGGGGCAGTGACACTGGTGGGGGCAGAGGAGGAGGTACACAGACTCAAAGGAACACAGTCGTCCACACAGACAGGGTGGGCAGACAATACACTGGCTTGCGGGCGCACACACACACACACACACACCTTCAAATGTCCTCAGACAACAGCCCACCATGGACAAACACCTCCAGGGCCACGCACCAGCACTGCCGTCCACCCACCACACACCTGCACTTACCTCCCAAACCCACGCCTTCCTCCTTCCCACTCCGCCACCTCTCAGGCACTGCCACCTGGCCTGAAACCCCAGAGTCTTACCCTGGGCATCAGCCTGTCCTTCCGCCAGATGGGTGGGTCTGCGTGGAGGGGCAGGGAGGATTGAGAAAAGACAGCAGTGGGGAGCGAGAACTAGGTCAAAGACCATGGCAGCTGCTCCCAAGCTGCCCTGGGCACTGACCCGTAGTTGGCATTGACCCCAATACCGAGGGAGGACACCTCCCTGCTGGAACCTCTCCTCCAGCCCCCGCTTTCTCCCTCTCCCAGCCACTTTGTCTCTTTTTCTGCTGCCGCCACCTAGCCGATCTCCCACCTTGCTGTTCTTGTCACTGTCCCTTGCTCTCAGGCTGCCTGCACCAGCTTTTGCCTCTCCCCAGCTCAGGCCATTCTGCAGTGTCCCCAGGGGGCCTCCTCTCCCTTGGGCCTTGGCACTGAGATCTTGCAGAAACAAAGCTTTCCGAGGTGGCTGCCTCCTCTCCTGCCCCCTTTCTCCTCCCAGCCACCAGTGCCAGGCTGAGTCCTGGGGCTGGGCAGCACACACTGACCTCTGCCCCAGGGCACTGGGGCGTGGGCGGGAGGAAGGGGGAGAGAACAAGGGTCACTGGCGCTTCCGGCTGTGGTGACTCCGCTGCTGCTGCCCCAGGGCCTTTGGGAGAGCTGGGGTGGGGGGGGGGGTGGGCAGCTGGCCTCTGAAGGATGGACCCTGGTAATTGAAAACCCTGAGCTGAGCTAATTGGATTAGGAAGGAAGTGGGCTGGAGCGGGGACAGTGCCCTGGCTGTGGCTGGCTGTCTGTCTCCCAGCTTCCAAGGCATCCCAGGCGGGACGGGTGGGGGAGGGGGGCAGCTGAGTTTTGCCAGAAGCATGCAGGGGTCTGTCCCAGGGCACCCTGAGTGAAAGGCCAGCCTTCCTCCCTCCGCCTGCCCGCTCTTGTCCACGCGCTGCCTGTCCCTTTGGGCCTTGACCTGTGGCGCCTGCAGCCCAGCATGTGCCCCACGGCATGGCCTCCTTACTCTCCCTTCCCCTCCCCTGTGGGCCCCTGTTGGGGTGGTTTCAGCATCTCTCTCCTTCTCTCCCTGCTGCCTGGATGTCCCAGATGAGGGACACCACGGTAAGTCGGGGGCGGGGTTGGGAGTATTTTCCTGCCCCACAAACCTGTCCTTGAGCTAGTTGGGTGCCATCCGACATCTCCTTCTTCCCCTCTTGCTGCCTCCCACCTTGAGTCCGGGGCTGCCGAGGGCTCCAGCCCCTGCAGCCCACGCCACGGACGGGACGAGGCTGTGGTGCCCACCCCGCCCCGTTCACCAGCACTCTCTCGCCTCTCCCCAGTGATGGAGCCACCCGTTATCACGGAGCAGTCTCCCCGGCGCCTGGTTGTCTTCCCCACCGATGACATCAGCCTCAAGTGCGAGGCCAGTGGCAAACCCGAAGTGCAGTGAGTGCTCGCCACCCTCTCTGCCCTGCCCCCGGGGCCCTGGCTGCTCTCACGCTCGCCTCAGGCCCGGCTCGGCCTCCAGCCCTTGTCTGCCCACAGGTTCCGCTGGACATGGGATGGTGTCCACTTCAAACCCGAGGAGGAGCCGGGCGTGACCGTGCACCAGGCGGCCCACTCGGGCTCCTTCACCTTGACCGGCAACAACAGCAACTTTGCCCAGAGATTCCAGGGCACCTACCGCTGCTTTGCCAGCAACAGGCTGGGCACCGCCATGTCCCATGAGATCCAGCTCGTGGCTGAGGGTGTGAAGCTCTGCGGAGGCCTGGAGGGTGGCGGGCTGAACAGAGTCCCTCCAGCAGGCCCCCGGGAGCTTGTACGGGGAGCCTGGGCTGGAAGCCACTCTCCCGGCTGGTCACTTACATGCCAAGGGGACTGGCTTCATCTGTTGTCCCCCTTCTCACTGCTCTCTCGCTGCCCCTCCCTCCTCCCTCTTTCTGCTCCTTGGGCATCGTCCCATCTGTCTCCCCTGTCCCTCTTCTGTGGTGGGCCCTGTCCTGCCCAGAGTGGAGGCAGCAGCGTCTGCCAGGCCTAGGCTTAGTGGCATGTCTCTTGGTCGCCCCCTCGCTGTTCCTGCATCCCCCTGGCCCTCTCTGCCATCCCAGAGCCCCTCCTCACCCTCCCTCTCCCTCCTTGGTCCCCCGCTTTCCGCATTCCTCCACCTTCGCTTCTTACCCTTCCTCTCTCCGTCTCTGTATTGATCCATGTCACCCTTTCCCGGGGGTTTCCCTCGTTGAACCTCCTGTCTTCTTGAGCTCTCCTCCCACCCCCACCCCCCCGGCCCTCTGGTTACCTTGGGAATCGTTGCCATGGTTTCTATGTCAGGATGATGGAAGGGTCTGTGACTCTGCATCAGTCCAGGCTCCCCTCCCCCACCACTGCACCTCAGCCTCCCCCACCCATCCCTGTCCCTGTCTTCATCCGCAGGGTGGGCAGGGAGGGAGCCATCCATCTGCCTGGGGAGGAGGGCCCTGGAGCTGAGCGCTGAGAGGGTTAACCCTTCCCGTCCAGCCACCTCCTGCCCACCCTCCTGTTGTCCTCCTCTGAGAGGCTGGTCTCAGCCTTGAACCCCCAAAGGACCTAGAGTCTCTGCCACCCCTCCCCCTGACGTGGACTTCCTCACAGCAGTGTCCCAAGAGAACTCTCAGCCTTGCCCCCATCCCCCAGAAGAGACTTCTTCTTTTCTCCTGCCCTGCACCACCTGGGAACCCATAGTGCCAGGCTCTCTGTCCCTTCTAGGTGCCCCCAAGTGGCCAAAGGAGACGGTGAAGCCGGTGGAGGTGGAGGAAGGGGAGCCGGTGGTGCTACCTTGCCACCCACCCCTCAGCGCCGAGCCCCCTCGCATCTACTGGATGAACAGCAGTGAGTGTCGCTGCCTGGGCGGTGGGCGGGGCAGGGGTCTCCCTGGATGGGTCCCAACCTGTCCCCCATGCCCCCGCAGAGATCCTGCACATCAAGCAGGATGAGCGCGTGACGATGGGCCAGAACGGGAACCTCTACTTTGCGAACGTGCTCACCACGGACAACCACTCGGACTACATCTGCCATGCCCACTTCCTGGGCGCCCGTACCATCATCCAGAAGGAACCCATTGACCTCCGGGTCAAGGCCAGTGAGTCCCAGAGGCTCTGACCCCCCTCTCCCCACCCCAACTCCTCTCTCACCCTCAGGTATGTCCCCTCTTCCTCGAGGATGGCTTGGCTCACCCAGGACCCTGCCCAGACCCTGACAGGCAGCGAGAGCAGAGTGGGGGCCCTCCCTTTCACAGAGGAAGGGACCAGGGCACCGTGGGCTTGCTGGGCAGACTCCTCCAAGCCTGTGCCTTGAGGGTGGGGGAGAAGTGGGTCACGCCACCCGTTTCTTCTCCCAGCCAACAGCATGATTGACAGGAAGCCGCGCCTGCTCTTCCCTACCAACTCCAGCAGCCACCTGGTGGCCTTGCAGGGACAGCCTCTGGTCCTGGAGTGCATTGCTGAGGGGTTGTGAGTCTGGGCTCCTGGGGGGTGGGGGGCGGCCTCTGCCAGGGGGCTGGGTGACCGGCCTCTGCTCTCCTCCCTGGGCAGCCCCACACCCACCATCAAGTGGCTGCGCCCAAGTGGCCCCATGCCAGCCGACCGCGTCACTTACCAGAACTACAACAAGACGCTGCAGCTGGTGAACGTGGGCGAGGAGGACGATGGCGAGTACCGCTGCCTGGCTGAGAACCCGCTGGGCACTGCCCGGCATGCCTACTATGTCACTGTGGAGGGTACGCCTGCCCCAGCTGCCGTGGGCTCCCCAGATGACCTCCTGGGGCGGTGGCCGGGGAGGCCGTTTCACGGGGCGGGCTTGGTGCGCACACGCTGGGGCTGAGAGGCAGTGTGGGCTCAGGCCACCCTCGCTTTGCTCCAGCTGCCCCATACTGGCTGCACAAACCCCAGAGCCAACTGTACGGGCCGGGAGAGACGGCGCGCCTCGACTGCCAGGTCCAGGGCCGGCCCCAGCCCGAGGTCACCTGGAGAATCAACGGAATCCCTTTGAAGGGTGAGCAGGGGTGCGGGCAGGGCCACGTAGGCAGTGGCCACAGACAGGTGAGCCCTGGGGGCTGCAGGAAGAGGAAGAGGAGGGAGAGGAGGGAGAGGAGAGGGAGGAAGAAGGGGAAGAGGGGGCAAGAAGGGAGAGGAGGGGCCTCAGAGCCGCTCAGGGCTCTGCCCGGCCTGTGCCCTGCCCCACTGTGCCCACAGAGCTGAGCGAGGACCAGAAGTACTGGATCAATCCAGAAAACGCCTTGATCCTGAGCAACGTGCAGCCGAGCGACACGATGGTGACCCAGTGCGAGGCCCACAACCGGCACGGGCTCCTGCTGGCCAACGCCTACATCCACGTTGTCCGTGAGTACCCCCTCTGTCCCCGAAGCTGGCACTGCCTGTCAGAACCAGCCTGCCGGGACTGCCTTTCTCCTCACCTCTCACCACATTTACAGAAGGCTTTCTGGAAGGGGCAGTCCGTCGGGCCTTGACTCACGGAACGATAGGACGAGAAGGCGTCTGAGGCAAAGGGGATGGGGGTCTGCAGGCTGGGAGGCTCAGCATGGCAGGGAGAAAGAAGCACAGGGGCCCTTGGGGCCCGAGGGTGTTGGGGAGCCCTGCCCACCTCCTGTGACTTCTTCTGCAGAGCTGCCCACCAAGATCTTGACTCCAGACAACCAGACGTACCTGGCTGTCGAGGGTAGCACAGCCTACCTTCTGTGCAAGGCCTTCGGGGCCCCCGTGCCCAGCATCCAGTGGTGAGGGCCCAGGCGCCTGGGGAGGGCAGGGAGGCCTGCGGGCACCACGGCGGGAGTGCCGAGCCTGCCTCCTTGCTTCTGATAGGCTAGACGAGGAAGGGGCAACAGTACTTCAGGACGAGCGCTTCTTCCCCTATGCCAACGGGACCCTGGGCATCCGGGACCTCCAGGCCAATGACACCGCACGCTACTTCTGCCAGGCTGCCAATGACCAAAACAATGTGACCATCGTGGCTAACCTGCAGGTCAAAGGTCAGACAGTACCCTCTCATGATGGGGATGGCGATGCCCCTGGGAGGGAGGGCCAAGGTCTTTGGGGGACACGAGAGTGACCCACTCCTTCATTGCCCTCAGATGCCACTCAGATCACGCAGGGGCCTCGGAGTGCAATCGAGAAGAAGGGTTCAAGGGTGACGTTCACCTGCCAGGCTTCCTTTGACCCCTCCTTGAAGCACAGCATCACCTGGCGCAGGGATGGCCGTGACCTCCAGGAGCTTGGAGACAGTGACAAGTGAGGGCCCAGTGGGAAAAGCAGGAAGCCCAGACGCAAGCCCTCCTGGCCCTGCTTGGACGGGGAGTTTCCGGCAGGAGGCGCAGAGGTGGCAGGAGAGGGGGCAGGGTGGCAATGGGTCTCCTGGGGGCAGAAGGAAACCATGGGTCCCTGCTCACCCAGGTACTTCATCGAGGACGGCCGCCTGGTCATCCACAGCCTGGACTACAGTGACCAGGGCAACTACAGCTGTGTGGCCAGCACCAAGCTGGACGCGGTGGAGAGCAGGGCCCAGCTGCTGGTGGTGGGTGAGTCCTGGGGGACTAGCGAGCCACAGGCCTGGGGGCTGGGGTGGGGGAGGCAGGCCTCTGGGCCCAGGAGGTTGAGCGGAGCAGAGACTCACACTCCGCGGCCCTCAGGGAGCCCCGGGCCAGTGCCCCAGCTGGAGCTGTCCGACCACCACCTGTTGAAGCAGAGCCAGGTGCGCCTGTCCTGGAGCCCCGCCGAGGACCACAATGCCCCCATTGAGAGTAAGTGGCCGCAGAGTGGCCTCCCCTGGCTTCTGGGCACACACGGGGAGGGAGTGGTGGGGAAGGAGGAGGCATGGTCCCCTCCCCATCCCCACCCCTCCACCACACACCCCATGCGATTACTCCATCGCTGCTTCACTTCTTGGCAGAATATGACATTGAATTTGAAGATAAGGAAATGGAGCCGGAGAAATGGTACAGCCTGGGCAAGGTGCCAGGGAACCAGACCTCTACCACCCTCAAGCTGTCGCCCTACATCCACTACACCTTTCGGGTCACTGCCATCAACAAGTATGGCCCTGGGGAGCCCAGCCCAGCCTCCGAGACCGTGGTAACACCTGAGGCAGGTGAGTACCTGGTAGGGAGGGTCGGATGCCTGGGGCCTGGCTCTGAGGGGGCTTGAAGAGGGACCAGACCTCCCGAGGGAGCCAGGGGAAGCTGGGCTTCCCTGCTCAGGGTAGCGAGCTCCTTGTCCCTGGGCCTCCAGCCATCATGGCCCTGGCCATGACGTGCGGACACATTGCTTTGCAGCCCCAGAGAAGAACCCGGTGGATGTCAGGGGGGAAGGGAATGAGACCAACAACATGGTCATCACGTGGAAGGTGAGGGGCCCAGGACTCTGCCCAAAAGGCGGCAGTGAGTGGGGCCAGGTGGCTGGGCTGTGGGCGGGGTCCCGGCTGCCCCTGGCCCAGAGGCCAGTGCCCTTGGCCCCCAGCTCCTTGTCTGCTTGCCCTACAGCCGCTCAAGTGGATGGACTGGAATGCCCCCCAGGTTCAGTACCGGGTGCAGTGGCGCCCTCAGGGGGCACGGGGAGCGGCCTGGCAGGAGCAGATTTTGAGCGAGCCGTTCCTGGTGGTGACCAACACGTCTACCTTCGTGCCCTATGAGATCAAAGTCCAGGCTGTCAACAGCCAGGGCAAGGGCCCTGAGCCCCACGTCACCGTTGGCTACTCTGGGGAGGACTGTGAGTATGGGCAGCCCTGCCCACGTGGGGGGGGGGGGGGGGTGAGCGTGCCGGTCATTGTTGGGGTGCGCAATCACTCCCCTTCCACCATGGCAGGCCGGTCCCCAAGCTCTCCCAGCCCCTCACCTCCTAACACTCCCTTGCGTCCTTCCTATGAATAAGGGTCTTCGCTCATGTAACCAAAGGCCCTTGGGAAGGTCAGGAAGGGCCTATCGATGTGCCGCTCCCTTGATGTAATCGCCGCCTGTATCCAGTTCATCAGTTTCCCCCTAATGCCTTCTCTAGAGTCCCCGCCCCCGGCACAGGGAGTTCACCCAGGATCACGCCTTGTGTCTAGTTGTCATCCTGCTTTAGTTCCCTTGAATCCGGAACTTTCCAGATGCTAACCTTGGTTATGGGTCACAGTTTTGTCTGGTTTCTCCTCCGCGTGGTCACCATTTCCCCCTCGCAGACAATACGCAGTCGGTAGGGGGACAGCTGGAGAGCCTCAAGCACCCTGCCCCTCCTCAAGCTGCCTCACCTCATATAGCATCCACACCCATCTCCAGCATGGGGAGCTCCGGACTGGCCTGGGGGCTGGGGCGAAGGCCCAGGGCCACCCATGTCCCGGCTCTTCCCAGTCCCCCAGGCCAGCCCCCAGCTAGACGGTGTCGAGATCCTCAACTCGAGTGCTGTGCTGGTCAAGTGGTGGCCTGTGGACCCAGCCCAGGTCAAGGGCCACCTCCGGGGATACAACGTAAGGGTCCCAGGTGGTGTGGGGCAGGAGGGGGGTTCTGGGGGGGCAAGGTGTGTGGCCACCGAGAGTGACAGGGCCTGGGACGGGCTCTGGACTGGGGAAGGGTGGGGAAGGGTGGGAAAGGGTCCCCCTCAGGGCAGTGAGGAGCAGGGCTGGGGCCCCTGCTTACCCTGTCCCTACGGGTCTCCTCTCGCCTGTCCCAGGTGACGTACTGGTGGGAGGGCAGCCAGAGGAAGCACAGCAAGAGACATGTACACAGAGGCCACGTGGTGGTGCCTGCCAACACCACCAGCGCCATCCTCAGTGGCCTGCGGCCTTACAGCTCGTACCACCTGGAGGTGCAGGCCTTCAACGGACGGGGCGCGGGGCCTGCCAGCGAGATCACCTTCAGCACCCCGGAGGGAGGTGAGCCCACGCCCCATGCTGTCCCGCCTGCCCCCCCCCCCACCCGCCGGGGCCAGCCCGGTGAGGCTCTGCCGGCTCCTCTCGGTCCACAGTGCCCGGCCACCCTGAGGCGCTGCACCTGGAGTGCCAGTCGGACACCAGCCTGCTGCTGCGCTGGCAGCCTCCGCTCAGCCACAACGGCGTGCTCACCGGCTACATCCTCTCCTACCACCCCTGTACGTGGGGGCCCAGGTCACAGCCACACGGAGGGAGGGGGCAGGGGCCCGAGCGCACAGCCAGTGTGACACTCTCCTGTCCCCCCCAGTGGACGAGGGCGGCAAAGAACAGCTGTCCTTTGACCTCCGCGACCCGGAGCTTCGGACGCACAACCTGACCAACCTCGACCCCCACCTTCGGTACCGCTTCCAGCTGCAGGCCACCACGAAGAAGGGCCCAGGCGAGGCCATCGTGCGGGAAGGAGGCACCATGGCCTTGTCCGGTGAGCTGAGAGGGACCTGGGCGGGGGCCTGGGGCTGAGGTGACCTGGCAGCTCACAGCCTCCTCTCGCCCCGCACCCCCAGGGGTCCCGGATTTTGGCAACCTGTCAGCCACAGCAGGCGAAAACTACAGCATCGTCTCCTGGGTCCCTAGAGAGGGCCAGTGCAACTTCGGGTTCCACATCCGGTTCAAGGCCCTCGGTGGTGAGGGCAAAGGGGGCCCTTGGGGCGGGTGGCGTGGAGCTGGGGGCTGCCTGGTGCTCCTGCTCACCCCCCACCCCCCGCACAGAGGAGAAGGTGGACTACCTCCCGTCACAGTACGTCAGCTACAACCAGAGCTCCTACACGCAGTGGGGCCTGCAGCCAGACACCGACTACGAGATCCACCTGCTCAAGGAGAAGATGCTTCTGCACCAGGTGGCCGTGAAGACCAACGGCACCGGTGAGGCCCCGGCCCGGGCCTGGGCCTCTGGCCCATGGGGGGCGGCAGGTGCCTGCATCGGCCCCTTTTGGGCCCCTTCTACGTCACTGTTTCCAGGGAACCATTTTCACAGATGGTCCTCGTCCCTGGCCCCCACCCTCTGCACCCCAGAGGGCCCTGAGCGTCACTCGATGAGCCTCGGGGCTCCTAGCCCCGCCCAGCCCCTGGGGACAGAGGAACCAGCCCTCTGGCCAGGCTGTGGGGACAGGGTTGTGTCTGCTCCCTGCCCCCAGGACGGGTGAGGCTGCCTCCGGCCGGCTTCGCCACCGAAGGCTGGTTCATTGGCTTCGTCAGCGCCATCATCCTCCTGCTCCTCATTCTGCTCATCCTCTGCTTCATCAAGCGCAGCAAGGGTGGCAAGTACTCAGGTGACCCCCGAGCCCCGGGTCCAGGCGGCCCCACCAGGGCCCGGGGGTGTGGGGCGCAGGGCGAGGGCAGCAGAGCTTGGGGGAGCAGCGGGCCACCTCACCCGCCGTCCTTTCTACAAAACTCTGGCAGGACACTGGGCCTGTTGGAGGCAGGCAGGGGCCGGCAGGGGAGCACTGCCGAGACAGAGGGCTGGGGCGCTTGGAGCAGAGAGGGGCCCCCCCCTGCTCCCTGCCCCCAGCCCCCAGCCCTGGAGACGGGGGCATGGAGGGCAGGGACAGGCTGGGCAGGGGAGGAAGCCGGCCCCTCTCCCCTGTGTCTTCAGTGAAGGACAAGGAGGACACCCAGGTGGACTCAGAGGCCCGGCCGATGAAAGATGAGACCTTCGGCGAGTACAGGTGAGCTGTGGGCAGGTGCCGGGCCGGCCGTGCCCAGCCTTTCCTGTCTGACCCTGTCTCTCTCTCTTCTCTGTGCTGCGGGTGACTTCAGGTCCCTGGAGAGGTAAGGAGGGCTGGCGGGGACCCCGGGGGGCAGAGTGTGCGCCCCAGCCCTCTCGCCCAGCAGAGTTATCTCCAGTCATAGCTGCTCCCCATTTCAGGGAAAAGCCAGCCCCCGCCGCTCCCCTGCCCCACACTAACACCCCAGCTTCTGGGAGCCTGGAGCCCCAGACCAAGGACACTGCATGGACTGCAGCTGAACGCACGTCCCCTCCCCACACCCCCTTCAGGCTCACGTATACAGCGCCAGGCCCCAGTCCCCAGGCCCAGCGCTCAGCTCTCACAGCCAGCCAGGCCCCTGGCAGCCACAGGGCATCAAGCGTGACAAGCCCGAAGCTGCTCCCTGGGCAGCCCCAGTAGCGCCACACTGGCGAGGGTCCGAGCTGCGCCTCCCAGCGTACACTGCGGCAAATGCGGTCCCTGCCCTCTGCCCTGCAGTGACAACGAGGAGAAGGCCTTTGGCAGCAGCCAGCCATCCCTCAATGGGGACATCAAGCCCTTAGGCAGTGACGACAGCCTGGCCGATTACGGGGGCAGTGTGGACGTCCAGTTCAATGAAGACGGCTCTTTCATCGGCCAGTACAGCGGCAAGAAGGAGAAGGAGGCAGCGGGTGGCAATGACAGCTCTGGGGCCACCTCCCCCATCAACCCCACAGTGACCCTGGAGTAGCAGAGACAAGCCAGGCGGGCGAGGCAGGACTCCACCCGGGGCCAGACTTCGAGGGCATCCGAGGCCAAGATGCCCCTGACCTTGGGACTGGGGGACTCTCGCCTCTTCCTGCTGCTCCCCGGGCCCTGCCCTCCGACCCTGGGCTGGTGGGGCTGGAATTTGGGGGCAGGGGAGAGGTGCTCACTGCCTCAAACTCCCTTCTCAGCCCCGTTGCCCAGTTTATTGCCAAAACCCAGCTGCACCCCTCCCTTACACACCCAGCGCTCTGCCCCAGCTCTGCTCGGGCTGTCTGGGCAGAGAGAGGCCCCGGTTTGGGGGATGGAAAGGAACCAGGAAGGGCCCCCAGTGGGATCGCAGAGATGCTGTCCCTCTTTACCCCTCACTGGGGGCAGACATGGCAGGGGGTCTCCCCAGGCCAGGGCTGCTGCCTCCGGCCTGCGTGCCTCCCCCCAAACCCCAGCCACTCCCTGTCCAGCCTGGCTGGGGCTGGGACAGAACTCCGTGTCCCCACTGTCTGCTCCCTTTTCTTTGCCATCTCTGCCCCGACCGGGATGGGAGCATGGTGAGCTGGCCATGGGTGGCGGGGAGGTCGCCTGGAGAGCCCAGAGGCCCCACCCGAATATCGCACCCCTATCCTGCTGCCCGCCCCACCCCACGGCCGGCTTTCAGGTGCACCTCACACACGCTGCCTTCGGTACCCACCACGCAACATCCCTGCGGCCTGCGTCACTGCCGGGTGAGGGGCGGGCCACCGCCTCTTCTGCCCACTCCCTGGGCCTCTCCCAGCCGCCACGGCCCCCACGCCCCCTCGGCCAGCCTGCTCCCGTCATCTGAACAGTCCGCTTCCTTGGCCTGCCCTGTCCCCACCTTGGGAATGTAAATACATCGTGACTTTGAAAATTTGTCCCCTTGCCCTTTCCCCATATGCCACTAGTGTGTAGGCAGATGTCTCGGTCTCTAGGTAATTTCTAGGTTTTATAGTAATTAGCTTTGATGATCCCATCCCAGGAGAAATAAAAACAGACAAAAAAAGGAAGGTTAAAAAAGGAAAATGGCTTCTCCCAGCTGCGCTGTGCTCCGGCCGGTAGCCACAGCCCCAGTATGCCTCTGCTTGGTCTGTCAACAAGCCCTCTACAAAAAACAAGAGTATATATATATGTACATAAATATCAGAATTATAACAGGCAAATAAAAACCTGCAAACGAACAGGAACTTCTGTCCTTTTCCTGAGCGCTCGCTGAGTTCCCCGTTTGGGCCCGCAGTCCCTGGGCCTGTTCTGCTCCCCTCCTGGAGCCCGGTGGGGGTGCCCCTGCCCACCTCCTGAGACCCTCATTCCTGCTGGGGTCAGATGGGGAACAGTGTGGCCAAGGCCCCCGAGTTCCCGGGGGGTTGGCCCACGGCCCACTTGGCCCATGCTCAGGAGCCTCCTCCTTGTCTAAGGGGACAAACACCGACCCGCGACCACCTGGCCCCCTGGCTTGGCCCTTGAAGCCGGTCGCAAGCACTTTAGGTTAATGGCCACAAGCCTCGAGTGGCCCCACAGGGATACCGGCCTTCCTTGGTGATTTCCCAAGCCGGTTTCCTCCCTCCCCGCCAAGGTGGTCACCCCACACCTTCGCCCCAGCCCTGGCCCTCTTCCCTCGCAGCCCAGGACTCCGAGCCCTATTTAACTGAGCAAATAAAAAACATCGGAGGAGAACTTCTTCCCACGTGTTCCCACCCGGAAATCTTGTCAGCCCAGGCCTGGATGGCCCCACACCCTTGGCCCTCCCCCTGCCCGGGCGGATGGCTGGGTCCAACCAAGGTCATGCCCTCCACTGAGCACTGGCCCATCCCCCGGGACCTGCTGGGGGACTCTTCTGCGGTGTCTCACCCTCTCCTTCCTGTGTCACCTGGACCAGTCCCTCCCATAACACCGAGCGCCCCTCCGGCCTTGTCCCATTCCATGCCCCCCTCAAGGCTGTCGACACTCCTCACATCCACCTTGTCTCCCCTGTGAGAGTGTCTGCTGTCTGCTCGTGATCCCCCACTATCTATTTTCTTGCGCTTACATAATAATAGAACTTTTGCTTGGGGACATGGCCGCTCAGCTAAAGACACATCTCCCAGCCTCCTTTGCAGCCAGGTGAGGCCAATGGGATGTGAATCTCTGTGCAGCTTCCAGGGTGTGCCCTTAAAGAGGCAGAGCCTTCCTTTCCCTGCCCCTGTTCCAGCTCCTTGCCAGCGGGAATGCAAATGTGGGGGAGGGGACCAGGAGGAGCCATCTTGGACCACCGAGTTGAGTGTTAAGGATGGCAGAACAAGGAAATAAAGACGCCCACATTCCTGATGACCTGGGGCCACTGCATCTGCCCCGGGCTGCTCCCTGGATTTTTAGAACAATTCTTTTTGGAGGTTTAGCATGTGTAAAATAAAGTGCACAGACTTTAAGTGTACACTTGGGTGCGTTTTGCACATGTGTATGCCTCCATGCAGCCACCATTCAGATCAAGCTATTGAACACTTGCACACCACAGAAAGTCCCTCGATGTCCCCACCCAGACACACCCTGTTCCTGAGGGAACCCCTTCTGACTTCTGCACCGTGGACCTGTTTCAGCAGTTCCTGAAATGTATAGAAATGGAACCACGCGGTATGGCATCGCTGGCGTCTAGCTTCTTTCTCTCTTCATGTCCGTGAGATGCATTCACCTTGTGGTCTGTGTCAGTTCTTCACTACTTTTTATTGCTGAGTTGTAGTCTGTTGTGTGCAGGCACCACAATTTACATATCCATTCTCCTGCTGGTGGACATTTGGGTTGTCTCCAGTTTGGGCTTTTATGAATAAAGTAGGTAGCTATGCTCCTTTCCTGTAGGTATCCACCCTCAAGGGTGCCAGTTATTAAGCTCTTGTCTCCTGGGTCCAAACCTCCTCTGCTACGTGCGACCTTGTGATACTGGAGCTGGGGCTCTGCAAACCACATTTCTGGTTTGCAGCTGGCTCCCCCCAGGCTGCTACTAGGGGGTGTTTGAGGGAGCCAGCCAGGCTAGAGCCCGAGGAAAGGTGCACCCCTTCCTCTCCACATCCCCTGACCATGCTTCTTCACCCCAGCAGCAAGCAGCACCTTTCCACGGCATCAGCGGAATCCAAGTTGCAGATTTTCCACCACTTGCAAACCCAGCTTCCTTGCACCCCACTTCCAAGACACCAGCACACCAGGCAGTGGGTACCCCAACCGCACAGAGATTTCCGCACCAGCTGAACACTACCCCACTCAAAGGTTTGCCTTTCAGCTGCCCCTCCCCAAGGCCTCCCCTGAGTTTCTAAATGTGAAGAATTCCAGCCTCGCCCCTTTGAATGCCAGCTTTCGGGACGGTAGCTGCTTCCTGAAACTGCTGCTCTGTGATACCTTAGCATCCTCCTTTTAGCCTTTCACCTGCCTAGTTAACAACAATTCTTTATATTAAATTCTCTTTGCTGAGAAAATGGTCGTTACTGCCTCCTGATTGAATCCAGATTGATACAGAAATTGGTACCCAGAGTGGTATCAGCGTTTGGGGCTTGGTTTATTTATGTCCTCGGGCTTGAAAGCAGGGTTAAGCTCCTTGCTATTAGGAAATGGGATGCCGAGAGTGACGCTGCTCTCACCTGTGGCTGATTGGGATGAGGTGCTCACTGCAGCCGCTGCACTTGATCATTTGGCTACAAGGACTGTGGCATGATATGCATCATTCTGAGTGTGCTGGCACGTTTACAAAAGAAAAGAACTTGAATAGATATTTCTCTAAAGATATACAGATGGCCAACAAGCACGTGAAAAGATGCTCAGCATCATCATTCGTTAGCGAAACGCAAATGAGAACCACAATGAGATACTACTCCATTCCCGCTAGGATGGCTGTCTTGGTCATCTAGTGCTGCTCTAACAGAAATACCACCAGTGGATGGCTTTAACAAAGGGATATTTGTTCTCTCACAGCCCAATAGGCTAGAAGTCCAAATTCAGGCCATCAACTCCAGAGGAAGGTTTTCTCTCTGTTGCCTCTGGAGGAAGGTCCTTGTCATCAATCTTCCCCTGGACTAGGAGCTTCTCTGCGCGGGAACCCCGGGTCCAAAGGACGCACTCCGCTCCCAGCACTGCTTTCTTGGTGGTATGAGGTCCCCACTCTCTGCTTGCTTCCCTTTCCTTTTATCTCTTGTAAGATAAAAGGTGGTGCAGGCCACACTCCAGGGAAACTCCCTTTACACTGGATCAGGGATGTGACCTTAGTAAGGGTGTTACAATCCCACCTTAATCCTCTTTAACATAAAATTGCAATCACAAAATGGAGGACAACCACACAATACTGGGAATCATGGCCTAATCAAGTTGACACATATTTTTTTGGGGGGCACTATTCCATCTATGACAATGGCTATTATCAAAAAAATGGAAAATAAGTGTTGGTGAGGATGTGGAGAAACTGGAACCCTCATCCATTGCTGGTGGGAATGTAAAATGGCACAGTCTCTGTGGGAAACAGTGTGGCAGTTCCTCAGACAGTTGAACTACCATATGACCCAGCAATTCCACTCCTATGTATATACCCCCCAAAACTGAAAACAGACGCAAACAAACACATGTACGTTAATGTTCATAGTAGTGGTATTTACAATAGCCAAAAGGTGGAAACAACCTAAATGTCCGTCGGTAGATGAATGGATAAACAAAATGTGGTACATTACACAATGGAATATTGTTGTTGCTGTTAAGTGGCTTTGAATCTGTTCCTATTCATAGCGACCTTGTGTACAACAGAATGAAACACTGCCCAGTCCTGCGTCATCCTCACAATCGTTATGCTTGAGCCCTTTGTTGCAGCCACTGTGTCAATCCATCTCGTTGAGGGTCTTCCTCTTTTTCACTGATCCTCTACTTTACCAAGCATGATGTCCTTCTCCGGGGACTGATCCCTCCTGATAACACGTCCAAAGTATGTGAGACGTAGTCTTGCCATCTTTGCTTCTAAGGAGCATTTTG